CTGTGGGTTAGCATGCCAGGAGGGCTGCTGCTACCAGGGAGACAGCACCATGCCTGACACCCCCATGCACAGCTCGCTGCCAGGCCACAACTCAACACGGAAGATTTGCATGATCTGAGCCCAACTCAGCTGCAGTGGCACCTGCCAGTGTGGCTTCTCAGAGCTTGCATAAGCTCAAGCTCCATCCGGCGAGTGAACTTCCACCTTGGGGAAGCTCAGGAAGCTCGGCCCAGGCACAACTCTGTCTTTCCGTGCAGAGGCCCTGTGAACTCAGTCTGAACTCTGGCTCCATTCAGAAGGCCACCATGTGCTTCAAGGAGGGAAAGAGTGAAATCCCCTCACTTCATCCTCACTACCTCCTGTAAGCCCAGGCTTTACTCTTAGATAAGCTGTTAATGCAGCGTAGATGTCCTAATCACTCCTTTCAGATGAGGGACAGGGCAGAGCAAAGTGAGATGGTGAATGACAAGCCCCATCTGCAGGCCACCTCTGCTTGCTGGCTTCCTGCACACCACCTCTCTGTAGATCTGCACACAGTGTCCAAGGAGAGCAGAGGCAGAATCCAGAAGCAGAAATGCAGGCTGCAAACTAAAGAGCCCTGACCACTCTTTGGGACTGAATGTGTTATACATTCAGGCCTGACCCTTGTACACCCACTCACTCATGGGCTGGAAAGAGGGGCAGTTGGAAGGTGTGCCAGGTCACCAGGAAGTAATTTGTGTTTGCCAGGCCCCTCTGAAGTGGAGCAAGAGTCCTGTGTGAGCTGTGGCCTCTGCAGCCCTTGTGACCTAACTAGGCGAGATGCCCATCATCTCCATCCCACCCCTTGATAAATAAAGAGCTGGTGTTTGTCTCTCCTCTTCACTAACATGGAGGCCTAAACTCTGCTGAGCTTATCTATACAATGGATTTCCTGCTGGTGTTGGATCCTCCCCTAGCCCCAGTGAGTAATAATTTATATCGCCTGAGCACACAGACATGCTGACGTCCATGATGCTGGTGGCCTTGGCAGACCCCGATTCCCTCAGTCTGGGTGGGGATCTACAGACATTAACCCCAGCTGAGCTGACCCACACAGAACATCCCAGTTAGTGAGAGGGAGCAAGAATGGAGAGTCCTGAGAGGTTCTGCAAAGTGCAGGCACCCACCAGCCACGCATTGAGGCCTCCTGTGCACCAGGCTGGGTGCTGGGTGTTCAGAAATGCAGACACACAGAGTGGAGGAGCATTCCAACCCGCTCTGGATCAGACTTGGGTAATTCCGACCCAGAGCTTAGTTCTGGGGCAGCATTCAGAACAGAGCTGGCGGAGTGTTGAGGAGGGGTAGATAGTAGAGGACGCTTGAGGAAAGCATCAGTTCCTTTCCTGGAAGTTGGTCCTCAGCACTGAGGGCCTGGAGGTGTCGGGAAAGGGAAGTGCCCTTTGGGTTGAGTTAGCACCACCCTGTGCCTCTGTAGTCAGTTTGGGCCGTCAGCCGGGGTACTCCAAGGAGGCCCTCTTCTCGGCTGCTCCTCTGCCCAGGCATGCGGGTATTCAGCCTCTTGTCAGAATACCAAGGCCCTGTGCTGGTCATAGCAAGCATGTTTGAAGGGAAACTGGCCTGGCTCCTGCCAACAACCCCTCTTCCTGACCTTGATAACATCTGGGTGGAATTTTTTCCCCTTTATATAGCTAGGCCCATTGGTATTTGCTTTGACTTTGGATCACGGTATGATTGGCATCTCTGAAATTTCAGGCCCAAAATGTGTGCTGGAGCCTAGAACTGTGGGAAAGCTGGACTTCTGCTAATGGGATTTCGGGTGTGTCCAGGTGGAGCAGAAACAGTGCACTGGTAACTGTTTGCACACAAAATGCAGAGAGCAGCCCCAGCTGGCGGGGAGGGGTCTTCTGCCAGGGGGCAGTGATGGGTCAGGCCTGGTGGGAGGAAGCCTGCGGTGGAGTTGGAGGAGGCCTCCTCCCCTTCCTGCCCTTCCTCACCCCACATCCTTCATCACCCTCCCTCCACGTTCCTGGCCCTGGAGTGACCAAACTCGCAAACAGGAAAAGATGTACTAACTGCAAAGAAATGCAATGGGTCCAGACTTAACCCCAAAGCAAACCTCACAAGTGTGGGGTTTGGAGCATGCTTTAAAATGACCGTCATTGTCTGGCTATGTGCAGCGAGGAGCTGCCTGGGGTGTGAGATCAGGATGGAGCTGGGCTTGGGGAGTGGGTCCTCTCCAGGTGCCTCCAACTGGAGAGGAAGCCCGTGCCCCACACACCGGCTCACTCCCTGACTTCTCTGGGGTCTCTGGGGTGAGTCCTAGCTCATCGGGTGACTTCATTTCCCCTCGTTGGGTGTTCATAACTCTCTGGAAGGTTCCAACCAGTCAACCACACTGATTGTGGTGTGGGAGCTTCTGACATGCTTGATTGCACTTTCCCTTCGGGACCTTGGCGGCCCAGCTGAGTGATAGCTGGAGAGTGGAGGATTGTGTTCTTTTAAGATAAGGTTTGTTCATAAGCAGGAGGAAGTTTCCAGATGCCTCTGTGAAACTCTGAAGGCGTGAGGGTGGGTACGGGCCTTGCAGTTGCCCTTCTGGGCAGCCTCCAGCGCCAAGACCCCTTGCTCAGGAAGTGTCCCATGTTTCCCTGGTTTAGACACCTCTGGTGTACCACAAAACCTGGTTTGGATGGAAGGACTTTAGCCCCATACAGCTCTCCAGGTGGTCACATATCTTCCCTTCTGTCCTAACAGGCTTCTTCCCTGGAGAAGACATATTAACACACAGTGTCTTTCGAGGACCTAGTGTGGGATTTGCACAGAGCCCTATTTGCCATCTTTGCCCATGTGGCCCTGGTCCCCACAGGACCAAGGCCATACTCCTTCCCTTGGGATTTAAATCTTCAGCGTCTGGCTCCAGACTAACTCTCCTCTTTTTTTTTTTTTAATCTCCTTTCCTTCTCTCCTCCCACCCTGAACTTCTCTTTCTCTTAGAACAGTCTGTCCCTTGGCTGAAATGTTCCTCTAATTATTATTCCTGGCAAGCTAGAAGCAGGACAGCATATGGGCTCTGGAATGAGACAACCCGGGTTCAAATCCTGGTGCTGTTCCTTTCAATCTGTGAAACCCTGGACCAGTCACCTAGCTGTGTTGTGCCTTGCTTTCCCCATCTGTGAAATGGGCCTAGTAATAGTTCCTTCCTGTGAGCAATAACAGGTCCTTAGAGTTGTCATGAGGATGAAAGCTCAGGCACTTGAAATATCTGACACGTAGTAAGAATTCGACATATGGAGGCTGCAATAAAAACTCTTAAAGAGCCTTCTCTGTGAAGTCATTTCCAAAAAAACTAGGCAGGATGAGCTTTTCCCTTTCTGGGCTCCCAAACTAACCCCATGAGGTTCCAGTTATTTATTTCCAAGTCTGAATTTACCTCTGGCCTGAGATTTCCTAGAATACAGGGACTAGATTTCAGCAATAGCAACATTTACATCAGTATGTGCCGGGCTCTCTACCGTAGGCTTTTTTCTCATGCAATTTTTTATCAAGACATAAACATTCACCCAATTAAACTATACAAGCCAGTGGTTTTCTTATATTCACAAAGTTGTGCAGACATTTTAAGAAGAAGCTCTGCATCCAGTAGCAGTCAGCCCCGGCAACCACAGATCTGCTCTCTGTCTCTGTGGATTTGCCTATTCTGGATATTTTGTAGAAGTAGAAATATATAGTACACACCCATTTGCCTCAAATTTCTTTTACTTAAGCCCAGTGTTTTGAGATTCATTAGGCATTCAAACCTATTCCTTTTGAAAGCTGAATAATATTCTATTGTAAGGACACATCACCTTTTGTAAATTCATCAACTAATGGACATTTGCATTGTTCCACTTTGGGGCTCTTGTGACCAATGCTGCCATGATCATCCATGCTCTGGTTTTCGTGTGGACATGTGTTTTCATTTCTCTTGGGTACATACATAGGGGTTGAATTGCCGGCCCACATGGTCACCCTAAATTTGACTATTCACATCAGCATTTGCATTCCTTTCAGTGATGAATGAGGATTCAAATCTCTCCATTTCCTCACGAATACTTTATTCTCTTTTTTTTATTATCGCCATCTTAGTATGGAGTATGAAGCGACATCTCATTGTGGCTTTGGTTCACATTCCCCTGGTGGCTAATGGTATTGGGCATCTTTTCATGTACTTACCAACCATTTGTACGTGTTCTTTGGAGAAATATCTATCCAAATTCCTTGTCTCCTCTTTAATTAGGCTGTTTGTATTTTTGTTGTTGAATTGTAAAAATTCTTTGCATATTTTGGATACAAGTCTCTCATCAGATATATATAATTGACACATAGTTTCTCTCACCTGGAGGGATGTCTTTTCATTTTTTTGACAGTATCCTTAGAAGCACCAAAGTTTTAAATTTTGACAAAGTATCAATTTTTTTCTTCTGTTGCTTGTGACCTTGGTGTTATATCAAATAAACTATTGCTTAATTCAAAATCACAAAGATGTACTTTATACTTTTAAAAAGTTTTCTTTTTTGTAGTGAAAAATTGGGCTCCATTTGTGTACAGTAAATCAAAGAGCATTCTGCTGTCATGTATAACTGATTAGAATTGAAAAAATAAAATAAAATAAAGTTATCTTATTGACGATAACCCCGAAAGGAAAAATGACTCTTTGCAGACCCACTTTACAGATAAGGAAACCCAAGGGCCAAATGCCAGATCTGGGATTTGAACTTGGTTTCAGTTTCACTCTAAACCTCATGCACATCTTGCTGTGCCTTCTCCCCAAGTCTCTGTACCTCTGCGTCCCCACAGGGCTTGCTCAGTGACTGGTGCACTGTCGGCCCACAGGTCATGTGCACTGGATGGAGGAATGGTCTGCCCTGGTCGGTGTGCACGTGCCTCGCAGGCTGGCTTAGGTGGGTTGGGGCTTGCTCCTCAGTTACACCACTGACGAGATGCAAGAGGTCACCCGGCATCTCTCCTCTACTCTGCAGTGTCTCATCGTTGGGGGAGGACCATGTGGCTTGCGCACTGCCATCGAGCTTGCCTACCTGGGAGCCAAAGTGGTCGTGGTGGAGAAGAGGGACACCTTCTCCCGGAACAATGTGCTGCACCTCTGGCCTTTCACCATCCACGACCTAAGGGGCCTGGGAGCCAAGAAGTTCTACGGGAAGTTCTGCGCCGGCTCCATCGACCACATCAGTGAGTAGACTATGGGTGGTGCTCCAGGAAGGTCAAGATCCTCCCTGGGTTTGTCTCTGCATCTAGAAGGCCCAGATAGTTCCCTCTGGGAAATCACTGGAGGATCCATGCTTCCAACTGGTGTATTTGGTGTAGGCCTGCTTTGGACCTACTATGCTGACACATAGTAGGTATTCAGGAAACGCTTTGCGTCCAGCATGTACAGTGAGAAAGAGGCAGCCACGGTCCCCAGATTTGGGACTCCAGAGCTGCCTTCCCTGACTTTCCCCTGCTTTCTGTGGGGATGGGTGTGGGGAAGGGGAGCAGAGTTCGGGTGAGAATGACGAGAGGGAAATATCCGCCACACAGGGCGTGATCTGTTTGGACACAGGAGAGTTCGCCAGCAGTGGCCTCAGAGTTTATTCCCTCTTTGGGATGTGAAAATTCCGATAGTCCAGTGGAAAGAAATTTGGATTTGCCCAGAAAGCTGCAGCGTCAGCGGTCAGGATGTTCTGCCCCACCCTTGGAAGAATGTGTGGTGTCCATTACCCACGTAGAGCAAGGACACTGAACACCACTTCTTATCAGGCCCTCCTGGGAAGCAGCACAGCCCAGCAGGCTTGGTGGGCCCCGGGGCTGTGGACTGGGCTTCCCAGCAGGGAGCCCCTCCTGCCCTCACCCACAGGCTCTATCTCACCCCTAGACCTTGGAAAGAAGTGCCAGAAAGGCTCTGGGAATGAGAGTGAAACATTCAGAACCATTTCCGTGGAGGGGAGCTCTGGTCCCTGTGAAGACTGGCAGGGGAAATTTATTGAGCATCTACTGTGTGCTGGAACCAGAGAGAGACCAGGAACCTTGGCCCTGTGAGGAGAGGCCAGGCCTCCCCTGAAGGAGTTTTGTGGCCAGAGGTGGTTGGGGCTTTTCCTAGCCCACCGACTGGCTTCTGTTCGGACCATCCCTGCTGTCTCCAGCCCCAGCTGAATCCTGTGCTTGGCCTTGCTCAGCAGTTCTTGGCAGGTCCTGTGTTGGCAACCTCCTCCACTTCCCACTGAGGTGGTTCCCACCCTCACCCCAGCCTCTTGCTCTTAGCAGAGGGTCCCTCTCCTGCACTCTGGGGAAGAGCGGCCACTGATGCCACACCCTGCTCTAGCCCCTGTGCCTCCTCCTGCCTGCTCACCTGTTCCTTGCTTGCACCTGCAGTCAGAGGTAGCCCTGGACATCTCCTCTCAGACCGCAACCCCGCCTTGGCTCCCTCCCCTCCTTTTACCTGCTCCTCCCACAGGCCTTCCTGCTCCTCATGTCTCACTGAGCCTCCAGGCCTCTGTGTGTGCCCCAGGACCATCTTGACCTCAGAATGTCCATTCTGGAAAGAGGAGGTGTGGGCTCTTGCACCCTTCATTCCCACCTTCCCCCATGACAGCCCGATCTCTCCCCACCACCCAAGTCTGCAGAAGCCTCCTGCCCCCAACTTCCCTGACCTCCTGTGAGATTTGATATTCTTGGTTCCACCTCTCTTAGCTTCCAGGACCCCAGCTCAGGCCCTGTTCTCCACCACCACCCCCTACAACCACCGTGCCCAGCTCCATTCTTCTTACCTGTGTTTCCCCCATGAGAGAGTGTGTCCCCACCTCCCATGCTGAGCCTGGCACCTGACGCATGGTAGATGCTCAGCAAATATTAAATGAGCTCAACCTGTGACATACAGAGAGGCCCGTGGAGAGTTTAGAACTGCTCACTCTGTGGAAGAATACCTGGAGGGATGCCCATCTGAACAGAATGGTGGGAGTCAAAATAGGGAAATGAGGTTCTACTCATTGGGAGAATTTTGAGAGTAAACAGGAAGTGGAGAACCTGACCCTTACTTACCCTTGGAGGGCAAAGAGCTGGGGCACAGCCTCCCCACCATGAGCCGCTGGATCACTGTCCTCCCTGGTTGCTCTTCGCTCTCTGTGGGCTCCTCTTTCCATCTTTACCTTACCAAGCCCAGAGCCCAGCTCAGGAAGGAGGCAGGAGAGACGAACCCCGCTCCCTAGGACGTCACCCAGCGCTAGAGCAGGAACTTTGAATCCTGACAGATCCAGGCCCACCTTCTAGTTCTGCTCCTGTGTGACCTCAAGCAAGTCACTTAACCTCAGTTTCTCATAGATAAAAATGAGAATAATGATTGTACTAAAGGGCTGCTGTAAAATACAGAGTGTCTGTCGCCAAAATCAGTGCTCGGGGATGATCATGGTGGGTGTATTGCCACACCCTGATCCCTGAGCAGTGATTGTGCAGTGTTCTGCACACAGGAGGTGCTAATGACGGTTCTTCTCCGCCTCTGTCTTCCTCACAGGTATTCGTCAACTGCAGCTCATCCTATTCAAGGTGGCCCTGATGCTGGGAGTTGAAATCCATGTGAACGTGGAGTTCGTGAAGGTTCTGGAGCCTCCTGAAGATCAGGAAAATCAAAGTACAGTGCAGTTTTCCTTTTCCGTCTCCAAGTCAGATATTGCAAACCAGAAGCGACACTTGCAGCTGTCAGAGGGTGCTTCTGTGAGAGTTATTTTTATTGAGAGCTGTCTGGCACACTTCCAGCCAGGGATAGTTTACCTTTTTTGACCATCGCTATTGCTCCTACCCTCCAGGGAGGAGGAGGGTAGGATTATTATTAAGCCATCAAACCTATAATTTGGTGGCCTTGTCCTTAGGAGATGCTATTTTGACAAATTGAGTCCAGTCGATAGCAAGAAAGAAGACATAGATTTGGTGGTTGGTGAAGTTCATTCACATGCACTCCAAGTTATGCATGAGAGTTCACACCAAGTTATGCATGAGAGTTCACACGTAGGTGTGTGGATGCACCTGTTGGACCCACAAGGTATTTCAAAATCTAGTACAGAAAGTGAGGCTTCTAGAACAACTATGAGATAAAGGTTCAGTGTATTTCTCAGTCAATTTTTTTAGTTATACATGGACACAGCACCTTTTTTTTTTAAATTTACTTTTATGTGGTGCTGAGGATTGAACCCAGTGCTTCACACATTCTACTGCTCAGCCATACTCCAGCCGCCATCAATAATATTTTTAATCATATTGAGGTTTAACTTATAAGCCATTAAATTCACCCATATAGATATACCCTATTTAGTAACATTTCTCTTGCTCCTTTTAGTATGCTTATTTAAGTTCAGATCCCTTAGACTCACTGAGGTCAGAGAGGTTGTTCATGAAGCCTCTGCATCTTTCTTACTGTCAACATCTTCTACTGCCCAGGAGGGGCTAAGAGTTCTGAGCCAGGTGCTGTTGGAAACCTCCAGTTTCCTGCTTGGGGTATACCTCGTTTCTCCTTCCCTCTGCCCAGCATTTGTGAGAATTTAAGGGGGCCCTTTGTTGGCTTTTCTAGCGGGACACTATTTATTACCTGGCACTCAGGGATGTGTGCTCCTGACTGGCATCTCTACTAGACACACAGGCTGTCCCTGAAAATGTTTTTTTTTCCCAAGGCAGCGAACTCCACAACAGAACATTTTGAGCATGAAGTAGAAATGCAAATTGTTTTTGTTCTCATTCTTTTGGGTCCGTTGAGCATTAAGAAGGTACTGAGTAATGTGAGGGAATGTGAAGAGAACACAGCAGAATCTAGTGAGAAAAATACTGTGCACGGGGGACTAGTTTGGGAATCATTTGGGATAAACTTCCAGTGAAGGCCAGTGAAACTAGGCATGGAGCTGCGTTGCTGGTTTACTTTGTCCCGGGCTGCACTGACACTAAAGCCAGCAGATGCCAAGTAGAACGTGACCGTGGGCTGCCTTGTCCCTTCCCCTGAAGGCTCTGCCTGGGCAGCATGGTCCATTTCTCATGGCCAACACACAGAGCTGTCATCACCTTCCTCCCACTGCTCCCTGTCGCTCATCTCCCCTTTGTGTCCTGCAGAAATTGGCTGGCGGGCAGAATTCCTGCCTGCAGACCACGCCCTGTCGGAGTTCGAATTTGACGTCATCATTGGTGCTGATGGCCGTAGGAACACCCTGGAAGGTGAAGGCTCTTCCTCTTGGGATGGGGGTGGGGAGAGTGGGAGGGATTGGAGACAGTGGGTGAATGGCAGGTGCCAAAGCTGGGGGAGCTTCTCAGAGGGCAGGTGTCCCATCCTGCCTGAGGTAGGTGGGCAGGGCTCCAAGAGGCTGGGAGTGAGAGGGCAACCATTTCATGCTCTCTGGACCTTGGTTTTCCCAGCTCTAAACTGAGGGTAGCAGAACCCATTCAGAGCACTGTGCTGAGGATTGGAGACTCACCTATTCTGCGATTATTCTGCGATTCCCAGACTCACTGATATGTAAAAATGCGTTATAAAGGTTAAGTGCTGTGGGAAAAATCAACTTGCATTTATTGAGCACCTCCTGATGTGCAAGCCAGGGTGCCGAGCACTTTAATAAGTACTTCATCTGGGACAAACACTTCATGCGGTTAATGGTGTTTGTTCACATTCAAGTGCTCTGCTAACGGAAGGAGGTAGAGAAAGAGTCTCCCCCTCCTCTTTCCACAACACTTAAGCACACCCACTGCTGGGTAGTTAGATAAGGTCTGCCAAACTGTCACCGTACAAAACCGTTCTTCGCTGGGTCCTAGAGTTGGATGTACAGTGTGCTTTCCTGGGGTGAGATCCAGTTTGGGTGAGAGAGAAACCCTAATAGTAGGAGATGCAGCAGTCACGTCCATCCCAGACCCCGAATCAATTAGGCTACTGGGTGTCCTGATTTATAGTAGCAGTACTGATTGAAAACCACAGGTCATAACGAATACGGCCCCCCATGGCATCTCTTAGACTAGGGACAACACTGCTTTTTGAGCTTGCCCCCCTTGAGGGCCACAAGTTGCCAGTGTCTGATGGGGAGGGCACCCCCTGAGCACAGGACACATATTTCAGAATGTCTAGTCCTTCTGGTTCAGGCCCTTCCCTGGGTGATCTTGACCACCACCGCCACCTTCTGATGTCACTTCTGTTCCCTCACAGTCACTACCCAATATCTGACAGGACATCTTAGGCAATTCTAGCTCCCAATCTGGATGTGGTACTCTGGATTTCCTATGTTTCCTGTAACTTTGACAAAGGTCTAATGAGGAACAACTTGAAGGAGAGGTTCCAAGTAGAAACCCAAGGTTTCTGTCAGAGGAATTTTGGGCAGAGGGTTGGGCACCAGCATGAGGCCGGAGTACATGGTGAGAGGATGTGCAGGGAATTCCCAAGGTGATGCTGGGGCAGGTCTGTGTCTGTGTGACTAGGGTCTTAGTCTGTTTTCTGGTGCTATTATAGAATATATGAGTCTGGGAAATTTATTAAACATAGAGGTTTATTTAGCTCATGATTCTGGAAGCTGAAAGACCAAGAGCCTGGCACCAGAGTCTGGCAAGGGCTCTCGTGCCACATCCTAACATGACAGGGGGCATCCCATGGCAAGACAGAACCAGCTGACCAAGAGAGCTCCCAGGATGGCCTGTCAATGCACAAATTCTTGCACAAATGAATCCAATCTTGAAGGCAGAGCCTTTTGACACAATCGCTTCCCTAAGGCCCCTCTCCAGCTACTGTGACATATAAATGGGGGGATTCAGCTTCCAACACAGGAATGCAGGGGACACATTCAAACCATAGCTACTGGGCCCTGGAATCAAGCAGCTAAGCAGCCTATCTGGGGTGGGAGTGGGAGGATTCAGGACTACAGGAAAACTAGACAGAAAAGGAAGAGGAGGAGAAGGTTCCACACCACCTGCTGTGATCCCACATTACCACCTTTCAACACAAGTTTTCCTGTAAACCATTGAGAACCAAGACCCCTAAGGATGTAGTCCTATGTAGTCCTACACAGTCAATGTACTATACATTTCAAGAGAGCTACAAGAGTGAATGTTGAATGGCCTCCGCCTAAAGAAATAATGAAGGTTTGAGGAGATGAGCTAATTACCCTGATTTGATTATTGCTTATTACATATATATGTATCAAGTATCACATTGTATGCCATAAGCATGCACAATTATCTTGTGTCAATTTAAACAAGAAATAAAAATTTAAGAAGAACCATAAGGAATTAGAGTACTAAGTTAATTTGTGTTCATAATATATTTATTGGATGTGTACTAAGTGCCTGTCACCGGGAATTAGTATATTAGTTTCCCACGGCTGCTCTAAGGAAGTGCCACAAACTGACCTAGTTCTGGAGGCTGGAAGTCCACAACCAAGTTGCCCTCAGGGTTAATTCCTTTTGAGGGCTGTGGGAAGAATGGGTCCCCTGCCCCTCTCCTGGCTGCTGGTGTTTGCTGCAGTCTTGGTATCCCTTGGGTTATGATCTTTATCTTCACAGGATGGTCTGTCTCCCCCTGGGCACCTGTGTGTCCTTCTTTCCCCTGTCTATGAGAACGTCAATCATATTGGAGTAGGGGGCTCTTCTGTAGAAGGGTGAGCTCTGGGAATAGTTCCCTGCTGGGGAAGATCATTTGGGCCATTGCCAAGCCTAAGGTGTTGGTTTAGGGAAGGACAGAGTCCCACTGACTTTGCAAGCCTCTCATGACATGTTGTTTCCTCTTGGGAGCAAACCTGCCATTTCTGCGGGCTCCTGTCCTCCAGAGGCCTAGAGGCCTGGTTTCGCTGGCCCATGGGCACTGAGGAGGACTCTCTCCGTGATGGTTTTCAGTGTTCGTGCCCAACCCAGAAGACTGACTCCGCTGTCTCCTTCCCCTCCCAGGGTTCAGGAGAAAGGAGTTCCGGGGGAAGCTGGCTATTGCCATCACTGCCAACTTCATAAACAGAAACAGCACAGCGGAGGCCAAGGTGGAAGAGATCAGCGGCGTGGCCTTCATCTTCAACCAGAAATTTTTTCAGGACCTGAAAGAAGAAACAGGTGAGACCTTCTCCTCTGTCCCAGCTAGCTCTTGTCCATATTTTCTAGGGTATCTAGAGGGGCACGGTGGCTTCACGGGCTCCAGGGACTGGGAGACTCAAACTGAGAGTGTGAAAGCAGAGATTTCTCCTTATGGTAATAAGTGGGCAGCGTTCCTTCAAGGGGTTCTTGATGGAACATTCTGGATGTTTTACCTGAAAATGGATAACAAAGCACTAACTCTGTCGACATTTACCGAGTGCCTGCAGTGTGCCAGTGCTCCGTATTGTAGAGCAAGGTCAAAGTCGGCATGATCCTCCCCCACCCCGACATAGACCATCAAGGATCCACATAAAATGCCCTAATGCAAGATGGTCAGCGCTGCACCCGGGCCAGTGTGAGACTCAGGGGTGCTCTGGGAGCCAGGAACCTGCAGGTAGTACCTAAAGAAGCACATGTGCTGCACGCCAGCTGTCACACTCCAAGGGATGTCCAGGGATGCCACTCACTGGCAGCATTTGACATCCAGCCACGGGCCTGGAGAACAGAGGCGCTGATTCACTCACTCAGTGGCCGCTACGTGCCAGATACTGCTTTGGGGCCTGAGTTAGACCAATGAAGGAGACCAAATCCCTCCCTCCCAGGACCTATATTCGTGCTATGGAGGGAGATAATCAATAAACAGATAAAGTGACAGGTCGGGCAGCCGTAAGGATGGTGGAGAAAACAAAGTGAGGGGAAAGCAAGGGATGAACCACCTGTTCCCAATTAAATAAATTCCAGATTTTTTCTTTTTTTGGGGGCGGGTGGTAAGTACTAGGGATTGAACCCAGGGATGCTTAGCCACTGAGCCACATCCCCAGTCATTCATATATATATATATATAT